TAGTTATTATATTTACTAATAATAACCAGGGAATAAGTTGTCTTCTCCCTAACAGGTCAAAGAAAGATAATTAACGTCATATTTCCAATTAGCAACTATTCTAAATAGATTGAGAGATTTTGAATAAAAGAGTATTTTTAACAGTTAAAGAGAATATAATTGTACATACCATTGTGAACAAAGGTGGTAAATGCTGCTTCAAATTATCCTTATATTTCTAAAATCATATACAAGGGTGTTTGTCTTTAAAACAAAACACTAGAAAGATTAACTATGTTACTATTTCATCTATCATTATTATACAAAGTATAACAAATGTAAAGATTTTTCCACAGATTTTACCTGTTAACATTTTTAGCACAACAGCACCTGATGTCATTGAGATGTCTATCACTGAGATGTTACAAAGATTCAAACACAGCAAAAAGAGGCGTTCTTGAGAATCCACTTCAATTGCTGTATCAACATAACATTTACTATAATGGGATCCATGTCACTTAAGACAATGTCTTGGAAATTATGTCAATTAATTTATTCCGTAAAAGAATATCGGAGAGTATCCAATCTATACACATCATAAACGGTGTAAAAATGTTTCATGGAAAAAACAAACAAAATAAAAAGCAAAGACAAAAGACAAAGTCAAATACCAACACCATCACCACGGTGATAACAGATGATGCTGATTCAATATCTGCGACCAATTCTAGCCAAATATTTGGAAAGCTGGACTCTACAACCTATACTCTACAACAAATACCCGGGTATTCTACAAACACAACCTCCAGCAATGTATCTAAGGAATGTAAACTTCTACAGGCCTTTAAAGACTTTGGATTACAAATACAATTACTGTTTTTAACTTTGGATTACAATTCGTATCCGGATCTATCCAGGAATATCTTACTCTGGAACTTGGTGTTCTTTTCAATTCTTTCCCAGACAAAAGCTTTTCTCATTTTAATCAACCACCTTTACAGGTAAAGATCACACTACGGATGTTTTACTGTTACAACAATGATCAAAGATGCTGGGAGCACAAAAAAACCTAAAGACTGTTGGAGAACTTTGGTTCACTAATTTAAGGAAGAAATGTGCTACAATGCCCACAGTTTAATGGAGAGGGTGTTATGGGCAAATGCAAATATTACACGTTTTAGAATGAAATGTTGTATTTCTTAAACTGTGTACTTTGTCTTTAAGAGATATTGCAAACTGACAAGGTGTTAGAAATGGAACATATTGTTTTTCATAACTGTTCCTTTAGGCAATAACCCCAGTGCATAATATGTTTGCGCCATTTTGTCCCAGACGAATTACAATAACAATAATGCATAAACAAGCTTCAAGGCTATACTACGACTCTTGCAGTACACAATATACTGTGGTAACCCCAAGTTAATGGAACTTCCCCAAATCCGGGAATCTCCCACGACTGTACACTTACGACTTAGTATAAACAACAGATAACCTATTCAGACTTTAAGATGCCATCTTGAACTAAGTCAGGAAAATTTCCATGACGTATACACCCTTTAGTTATGGCTTTGTATGTTTGCCAAATTAAGGCAGGTCCTAAATTGAATAAAGTAAAAGAAGTGTTACTTTTTCATATTTGAACTACAGTAACCTAAAATGACGACACCTAAGGTATAAATAGGTGTACTTTTAAATGTGAAGAGACAGAGGAGAGACTTGGAGACAGACGCTGCTCCATCTTAAAATGACAGAGAGGCTGACATGATGACATGTTCAGAAGGGTATGTTAACCGATTAATGATATTTGCAAGCATGTAATTTAAATCTTATAAACTCTGCTATAATGGATTTTATATTTTTATATAATAAATATCCAAAAGACAATCTTGCTTCCAAGACAATCCTTATTTTATATTGTATTCTCAATTATTTATATATGGTAAATAGAGGATCTCTTACTAACTATATAAAATTATGGCTAAGATATCTGTATGGTTAGCCCTACTAAGTTCTATGCTTTAAGACATTATAGTGGTAAATAAGGGAACCACACACGGTTACACTCTTCACGCCACCGACACCTTCTGGATATCGTCAAAAGTAGAACCTTGGAAACGACAATACAGATCCTATTGGACTCTATACTATTATTTACTGTACACATTGGCGCAGACCTATCCCCCCTATTTTTTTGTTTCTACTATTTGATTTGCAGGGACATTAGAGGGAGTCCTTGTTTGGGACTGCTGCCTTCCTGATTAGCGCTGACTCTACCCCCTGTTCTGTAACCTCTCGGGGTAGTAGTTTCCGGCTAAGATACGCCACCGGGTGCTCCATTCCGTCGTCTCCCACTTGACTCAGCACGGCTCCCAGCCCAAACATGGAGCCATCTGTATGCAAAAGAAACAGTTTGTTATAGTCTGGGGCGGCCAACACAGGTGCCTTCGCAGAGCGCTGTTTTTAGTTTCTGGAAAGTGTCCACACACTCCGGGGACTAAACTACTTGTTTGGGAAGGGCCTTCTTGGTGAGGGGTTTGGCCAGGGCGCTATATTCTGGGACAAATTTACGGTAATACCCTGCCATCCTTAAAAAGGCTAGCACTTGGGTTTTGGTGCGGGGTTGTGGCCAATTGGCAATGGCCTCTACTTTGGCTAGTTCAGGCCGCTGTTTGCCTGAACCTACTCTATGCCCAAGGTACTGAACCTCAGGCATGCCTACATGGCTTTTGTCAGGCTTGAGGGTAAGCCCTGCTGTCTGAATCCTCTCCAGTACCCTGGATACATGCTCTAGGTGGGACTCCCATGTGCTACTGTAGATGGCTATGCCATCTGCTTGAAAGTAGTCGCAGCATTCTTCATCCCAAAGGGCATAACTGGTACAGCCCAAATGGCGTGACGAATGCTGACTTAGGGATGGCCACTGGCTCCAAAGGGATTTGCCAATATCCCTTGCACAAATCCAGGGTAGTGAGGTAATTCCCCCCTGCCATTCTATCCAGGAGCTTGTCTATCCTAGGCATGGGGTAGGCGTCCATTATGGTCGGGTCATAGAGCTTCCGGTAGTCGATACAGAAGCGAGTCGTGCCGTCTCGCTTGGGTACCAGCACTACCGGCGAAGCCCAAGGACTCTGGGCGGGTTCTATAACCCCTAACTGAAGCATTCCTTGTATCTCTGCGAGCATATTGTCTCTGATGGCCACAGGAATACGATAGGGCTGTTGCCGTAGAAGGGTGTCTCCCTGCGTCTCTACCCGGGTAGGGTAGAAAACATGTCCCTGTATCCCTGAAGCAGCTGAGAGGCCTCCCTTTTCTCTTAGGGGGTTAAGGTCTCGCCTAGCTGTATCTGCTCTATGGTGTTGGGGCTGAAGGCTAGTAAGTCCGGTAAAGGGAGCCCCTCACTATCCTCACAGGCAGGGGCACATACGGACGCTATGTTCCCTGTCCGCTCAAAATAAGGTTTCAGCATGTTCACATGAAAGGCCCTCCGGATCCTTTCATCTGAACACTTGCTGACTATGTACATGGTGTCACTAATTTTCTCCATCACCTTAAAGGGTCCCTGCCATGCGGCCTGAAGCTTGTCTTTCTTAGAGGGCTTCAGGGCCAGTACTCGCTGTCCTATATCCAGGACCCTAGCTTGGGCACCCCTATCGTACTATCTCTTTTGGCGGTTTTGGGCCGCTGGCAGGTGCTCCCGAACAGATTCCGTGAGGGTCTGCAAGCGGTCCCTAAACTCCAGAACATACTGTACAATAGGGACTCCCTCCTCTCCTGTGTTGCCCTCCCAGTGCTCTCATATGAGGTATAGGGATCCCCGGACTTTTCTCCCATAAATGAGTTCGAAGGGGGAGAACCCGGTAGAGGCCTGAGGCACTTCGTGGTAGGCGAACAGGATGCTGTGAACGTTTTAAGCATCTGCTTGAGGGTGCCGTTAAAATGCTCTTATAGTCTGTTCGTTTGGGGATGGTAGGGAGATCTGAACAAGGGTTTCATGATGCAACTCTGCCATAACTGTTGGGTTACAATTGCGGTGAACTGTGTCACCCTGCCGACAAGATCTCCCTGGGGAAGCCTACCCGAGTAATAAATGTTTACTAAAGCCTCCGCTATCGTTTCCGCCTCTATGTTGGACAGAGCTACCGCCTCAGTGTATCTGGTAGCATAGTTTACCACGGTGAGGATGTAGCGCTTCCCGGAGGTGCTGGGCTTACTAAGAAGGCCTATTAAATCTATGGCCACCTGGTGGAAGGCTCCTCAATAATAGGTAGCGTATGCAGTTTGGCCCTTTGGCGATCCCCTCTCGTCCCTGTCCTTTCACACGTCACAGGTCCTGCAATAGGTCTTTACATCCTGGGATATGCCTGGCCAGAAAAAGGTTTGGGTTAACCTGTCCCTGGATTTGGGAAAATTCATCTTGAGCGCTTCATCTACTCTGGATTAATAGATGAACGAAGAACTGAATGGCGAGCTATACTCACTCTTGCTCTCTGCCGTTCGGTTAAAAACTGACAAACCCCTAGCTACCACTTCAGGGTTCGTTACAACTGGTGGCAAGTGGCGGGATTCATATCCCGAATGGACGTCCCAAACTGGAGGAAACTGAATGGCTCAGCAGTATGAGTTACTGAAGAGGACAACATTAAAGGACCTGCTGGAAGCTTGGGGCATAGCAGCAAGCAACAAGAAAAAAGCCACGCTAATTGCAGAGCTAGTGTAGAGTGAAATAACCAGCAGCATGGAAGGAGAGCATCCAGAGGAAAACTAATTCCAGAAGGAGGTGAGATGGATGATCAGTCTACTGGGACCCAATCCATCACAAGAGACAGTGGTACACATCGTCACACATGCCAAGGATTCACAGCTTGCCTGGGAACCAAGAGCAGGGTTGCTGCAGGGGGATTCCCTAACCTCCCCAGGATATACAAATGGCCGTTCAAAGAAAATCAACTATGCAGCCTTTAAAGCTTTTGTTGATGAGGAAACAGACATTGACAATTACCTGCAGTATTTTGAACGACAGTGTACATTGCAAGGACTAGAAGCAGATAATTGGGCAGCGGTTCTCAGCAGCAAGCTCTCAGGACGGGCAGCGGATGCCTACCGTGCCGTACCTGATGAGGACATTCAAAACTATGACAATATCAAAGAGATTTTACTGGTCAGATTTCCAGTCACACCTGAGGAGTACTGGAGAAAATTTCGGGCACTCAGAAAAGGAGGCCGAGACTCCTTCACAGAGTGGCAGGTGGCCCAACGCTGGATGCAGGTGTGCCAGGCCACTACATTGGAGGATGCCATCCAAATTATATCCTTAGAACAATTTTATGACCATATCCCCAAAGACGTCAGGGATTGGGTGAGAGATCGAAAACCCAAGAGTGTGGAGGAGGCTGCCAAGCTGGCAGATGAGCACCAGGATGGCCGGCATCTGGATCCCAACAAGGGATGACCGGCCCCCAGACACACTAACCAGGTACCATCTGCCCCCACCCAAAACCATGGCCCAGTGTTACCTCTGCAAGCAGCCGGGGCATATAAAACAACACTGCCCCAACAGGTCCAGGGGAAATTGGGACCGAGCAGCATCACAGGCTAGCTGAGCAACTGTCCATTGTTGCCAACAAGACGAATTTCCGGTCTCAGGGCACAGCGAGGAACAGTGGACTACTCTGCATGAGGCGAACCCAGCACAAGCGGCCAGTGACAACCGTGACCATCATCAGCAGTGGGTTTTTATAGACGGCATAGATGCTCGGGCTCTAAGAGACACTGGAGCCACCCTCACGTTGATTCAGTGTCACATGGTTTGGGCGCAAGCTCGTATTCCTAAGACCGTGGCCATAAAAGTTGCTGTAAAAGTTGCATAAGCTCCCCATGGCCCGAGTCCACCTTGATTGGGGTTCAGGAAATAGGCACCTGGATGTTGGCCTTATGAAAGACCTCATGGCGGATGTGTTGCTAAGGAACAATGTGGGTTGCATGACATCTCAGCTCAACCGCAGCACAGACTAGTGACTACCTGGGCTCAAGCATGCATTCCAGGAGGATAGGAGTCAGGAACAATTTGAGTGGGACAAAGGCCTGTTATATCGAGTAACCGGGGGAGCGGGGCCACCCAAGTCACGAAAAGGCAGCTGGTAGTACCCAGGAGATTTAGGGCTGAGTTGCTCAAATTGAGCCAAGATATCCCCCTAGCAGGTCATTTAGGGGTCACCAAATCCAGGGACAGGTTAACCCAAACCTTTTTCTGGCCAGGCATGAGGAGGGGATTTACTATTTGTACTGGGAGTGTCACTGTTCTTCTCTGTATTTTTATTGGTTATACTTATTTGTGTCCCTGTGTTCCACAAGTTCCAGGGGGGTGTTCCCCTGGGCTAAAAACTTGCATAAAAGCCAGCGTGGCATTATAAAATTTCATTCCAGTTACACCCTTCATCGTGTTTCAGGTGATGCTTGGGTACCTGATTACTGCTTTGGCAGAATTCAGCTTGAGCGCTTCATCTACTCTGGATTAATAGACGAACAGCAAGCTATACTCACTCTTGCTCTCTGCCGTTCGGTTAAAAACTGACGAACCCCTAGCTACCACTTCAGGGTTCGTTACACAATCAAATACCAATTTGTTGGAGGCAACAAGGTCAGTGGTAATGGTGGCGTTGTTGTGAGATTGTTAATATTTGGGAAAAGATTTTCTCTTTTCATAAAAAATATACACAAATGTGGATTTGATTTATGCTCCAGAAACTGCTCTTTTACATTTAAATTGGCCAAACCTGGATAGTTAAAAAACATTTTTAATTATACATATGTTTTTAGCAGTCAGAATAATACAATTGCACTCAATTGGGGAAAAAAACAAAGCACTTTATGACAGGATGCTTTGAATCAACTAATGTTCCAAATAAAATGGAGAAGAATATTAGTAGGTCACAAGGTTATTGTCTAAGTGTTTAGGGGGTGATTTAAGGGTCACCCCCTACTTTAGGCTCCCTTATACACACCAAAGCCCCCTAGTGGGGCACCACTTTCTACTTGTCTAAGTCTTTCCTAATATGGGTCCACGGTTTACAAAAATTGGAACTGCAAAAAGACTTTGTTATGCATGGTTGAAAATCTAGAGGTTTAGAGTAGTTCAGACTATACATGTGCCTTTTAGTAACTGAATTTGTCTTAATAAGTCTTAAGAATTAGAACAAAGCTTTTTTTATGTTACACTGTTTCAATGTATATGTTTATTGTTGTCCAGAGATGGATGTAAATCCTTGCAAACTCTCGGGGATGGAAGACAATGAGCACTTGCAAGATTTAAGTTATAACTTTTTTATTTGTTTTATGTCAAAATTAATTGAAAAATCAACAAAATATTTGAGGAAAAAAAGCTTTAGGTGGTCTACAGGGTCTATTATCTTGCAAGATTTCACACCGAGTCTAAAATCTTAGCATAAAAGCACAACTTCTATAGCAAACATAATATGGTCCACATTCCATTCACTCATCTCCCCGCCTTGACTGCAGGAATGATATATCTCATTGCAACTACCTGTGTTGGTTCACGTGGTTCACGTCATAATCTGGCCCCGGTCTCATTAAGTGGCGCGCTGGGGCGGGGGAGCAGAGAAAAAACAGCCAGCTCCCCCTGCGGCCACCAAAAGAGCTCCCTCTGAAGAGCCAGCTCCCCCATGCGGCAGCCATCAGAGCTCCCCATGCGGCCGCCAGCACACAGGTAGAAATTATGTGTGTCAGTGTGAGTGTATGTGTCTGTGTCATTTGTGTGTGTATGTCTGTCATGGTGTGTGTGTGTCTGTGTCATGGTGTGTGTGTGTGTCATGGTGTGTGTGTGTGTGTGTCTGTCTGTGTCATGGTGTGTGTGTGTGTGTGTGTGTGTCTGTGTAATGGTGTGTGTGTGTGTCTGTCTGTGTCATGGTGTGTGTGTCTGTGTCATTGTGTCTGTCTGTGTCATGGTGTGTGTGTCTCTGTCATGGTGTGTGCGTCTGTCTGTGTCATGCAATGTGTGTCTGTGTCATTGTGTGTGTCTGTCAGGTAATGTGTGTCTGTCTGTGTCATGGTATGTTTGTTTTTGTCATGGTGTGTGTGTGTCTGTATGTCATGGTGTGTGTGTGTCTGTCTGTGTCATGTAATGTGTGTCTGTGTCACAGTGTGTGTGTGTCTGTTTCACGGTCTCTCTGTGTCATGGTGTGTGTGTGTCTGTCTGTGTCATGTAATGTGTGTCTGTGTCACGGTGTGTGTGTGTGTTTGTGTCATGGTCTGTCTGTGTTATGGTGTGTGTGTGTGTGTGTGTCTGTCATGGTAAGTGTGTGTCTCTTTCATGGTGTGTCTGTGTCATGGTGTGTCTGTCTGTCATGGTGTGTCTGTGTTTCTGTCTGTGTCACGGTGTGTGTTTCTGTCTGTCACGGTGTGTCATGGTGTGTGTCTGGCATGGTATATGTGTGTGTATGTGTGTTTTTACTCACCTTTCTTTTCCCCCACGTCATGCTGGTCTCCCCTCAACTGGCCCTGCCTCTACGGCTGAGATCATCAAGCCAATCCGCACTGACACAGTAAGCACCTCTAGTGACCGTCTGAGTGTCTGTTCTCTAAAAAGTCAGTGTTTACATTGAAAAGCCTGCAGGGACAGGCTATAGACACCAGAGCCATTACATTAAGCTGTGTGTGTGCGCGCGCCTGCTAGTGAGTGGGCTTGCTTGTGTGTGTGTGTGTGTGTACCTACTACTGAGTGAGCATGTGTTTTTATGTCAATGACCTTATGTATATCAGTGAGATTGTTTGTCCATGAGGCTGTGTATCAATCAGCTTGTGTCAGTGAGATTGTCTGTGTCTGCATGTGAGTATGCTTACTGTATAATTAAAAATTTTACTCTGAAAGGACCAATATTTTATATTGGAAAAAGCAATATATATAGAAAATAGTAAATGAAGGCTTGCACTCACGGTCTTTTTCTTGTGTAAAAGTTTTCTTTCTTTATTCCATATCTCTTAAAACATAATTTCTGTTAGAATCAACATTTCAGCCATCGTCCGTGGCTTTCATCAGGATCAGTTCAGCAAAAATACATTTACTACATGATGCATTTATATAGCCAAACAAACCAATTATTCCATCATACTATCACTCACCACCTGTATCGCTGCTTCCCCGGCGTCTCTCCATCACTTCTGCGCATGTGCAAACACGTCACAACCCGGAAGTGGCGTGTTGACGTCACCAACCGTTGCCAGGGTTACACGATATGATTACCGGCACTCTGTCAACTAGGTTTACTTATGCACAGCAGAGAGTTGCGCCCGAGCATGCATACAATCAACAAATTAAAAACATGTTTTTAAATAAAAAGCTTATACCATATTCCTTCATACATCTAAGCACATTATGTAACGTCTATATCTATACATCCTATAGCACTTAAAGATACCTCTTCTATTCAACTTGTATTTTTCATCTACTTCACAGTATAGTCTCAAAAACGATCCTGTGGGTTATATCTTATTAACCTTAATAAGATTTTCCAAAGAAAATTCATAATTAAATCTATACCAAGTTTCTACTATTATGCACGTATATTAATCCGTACAGTGTAATATATACAAAAAGTGTCATCAAATCTTTTTATAGTAATATTTATATATCCTTATTTATGCTTTTAAACAAAATTTTTTAAAAATATTATTACTCTACCCTAAAGTGCATTTATGTGTTTGTTATACATTAAAGTGAGCCCGTGTAGTTTATGTACATTAAAGTGCTGCTCATATTTGTTAAAGTGATACTATTTACATCAAAGTGCTGTGTGCTGTTTATGTACATTAAAGTGAACCTGTGTTTATTATATACATTAAAGTGCTTCTTATGTTACTTAAAGTGATACTTGTGCTTTTATTTACACTAAAGTGCTGACCATGAATTAAAGTGCTACTTGTGAATTAAATAAATATCTATATGCCTTACAGGCTATTTTAAATTGAATACACTCGATCTAATATTTATGTTAGTCTTATAAGTACTAATTAGATGTGATATTGTTTATTTGCTTATCAAATTTCTAACTTTGATTTATTATATAGCTCTCATATTTGACTGTATCTTAATTCAACATATTCAATACTTCTTCTGCTAAAAATGAAGTCTCAATATGGTCAAAGTCTTAAACTCCAAGAGGCCGATCCTTATAAGGCAACTCATATAAACGGGTAATAAGATATCATTTCATTAAGTCCACGGGGTGCAACTGTATCCAACTCCTGTATCCAAAATGTTTCTCTTCTTAACAATGTATTTCCTCTGTTTCCTCCTCTTCTGGACAATGGTATATAGTCTATTGCTACAAACTTTA